GGGAGGCGGGAAGGCGCCCCCGGGAGGGGCTCCCCTTGGCCTTCCTGGGGGGGGGGCGGCGGAGAAGGGGCTCCCAGCGGCGGGGGAACCCCAGCAGCCTGCACCTGCTCCTGTGCCTGCCCGCCAAGGGCGCTGGCCAGGGCGGTTTGCGGGCGCCCTGCCTGGGCCCCTGGGAGCTGCGGGAGCCGCACCGGGTGCTGCGGAGGCGGCCCGCCCGCCCCACTCCCTCCTGCAGGGGGGCTGGGGCGCGGGAAGGGGGGCTTGGAAAACCCGCTGCCCGAGGCGCCCCAGGCACGGACCAGCTGGGCCTGTGCCTCTGCCTGGAGCCCTGCCTCGCATCCCTGCCAAGTCCGGGTCCCTCAGGGTCGCCCCACACGCCCAGCCAGGCCGGCTTCAGGAATCGGGTAACTCTTGTTCCCGTTCATCCCCCCTAATGAACGTTCCTCTCCATCAGCAGCAACACAGGTACAAAGTCCTTGAGAAGCAAGACAGGGGCTGCCCTGAGTTCACCTCCCAGCGCCAGCTCCGCTGGTGGGGGCGCCGCCTCTCACAGGCAGGGTTCTAGTAGCTCCTGTTCTGTACTTGAGGCTGCCAAGAGCCTTTTCTTCCTGGGACAGTATCAGCAAGGAATTCAGTCCGCTAAGCACACTTCAGTTAGAAACAAAGCTTTGCCTGAGCGGGTTTGGATTAAAGTCCAAGAAGCCTATGCAAATAAGCAATAAATAAGAGGAATCGACCAGCAAAAGAGTTGGACACAAGAGTGGAGGGAATATCCCTGGGAAGATTCATAACATGAGCCATGGCACCACCTGCACCCAGAGCGCCTGGCAGCCCAGGGGTCCTCACAGTCCCACCTTGGGGAGCAGGCCCAGAGCAGCTCAGGAGGAAGGTCTCCACTTAGGGAGAAGCATAAGTACATGGAGACAAGGCCATGCCTTCGACTGATTGTCAGGGTCATCTGCAGACACCTACCTTAGGCACACAAGTTTATCGAGTTATTAGTAATAACAGGCAACTTATGGTATAAAACAAGATTTTAGCAATTTCTCTGTTCAAAGGGAGGAAAAATTGGCAAGAGTAAACATTGACTTGTTTTGCTGGATGGATCGGGGTCCCCAAGACCCCAGGTTTGCTGATTCCTTAGCAGATTCTTGGCTTTGATTTATTACAGGGAAAGGACAAGGCAAAATTTGCAAAGGCTCCAGGGGAGAAGTCCCGGGGTATCAGGCGTTGTCTCCCAAGGTCCCCTCTCAGGGCAGTCACAGGGGAGCACTTAACTCGCAGCACCCAGTTCTGGGGCACCTGAAATGCTGCCAGCAGGACTCAGTGCCCTGAGATTTTGTTGGGGGCCCATCCTCTGGGCATCCCATACCAGCATACAGCCAAGTTCCAGAGCCACAAGGAAAGCCAGTGTTTCATACAAACCGCATTGTACAAACCATTTAGGCACAGGGGGCCCCTCTTAACTAAATGTGGTGGGAACCTTCTGGAAATCTAAGTTCCTAGGTGCCTTTTGGGCCAGCCTCTGGGATGGCCTTCCGAGGACAGGACGGCCGGCTTACAAGTCTGGCCTGGTTATTTCCAGGGTGTTGGGGACGGAGGAGGTTAAACCTGTTACTCAAGTCAGTTTTTCTGTAGATTTTCTTTCTGTTGTTCTGTGTAGAATCAAAAGGTGGCTAATTTTTCTCTCTCACAGCTGGGTTTTTCCAAACATAAAATTAATTAACTTAATCATTTATTTAATTTATTTTTTGAAATACGTTTTTATTTATTTTACAGAGAGGAAGAGAAAGGGAGAGAAATAAACTTCGATGTGAGAAATATCAATCAGTTGCTTCTGTACACACCTCAGTTGGGATCTAATCTGCAACCTGGATATGTGCCCTGAGCAGGAATTGACCCAGCGACCTTTTGGTGCATGGGACTACACTCAACCAACTGAGCCACAGAAGCCAGGGCGACTTAGTTATTTATTGAGCACTGTGTGCCAGTATCTCTTGTAGGCTCAGGAAATTCAGCTGGAGCAAGACAACTACTCAACTTTGAAATTTCAGTTTTTAACTGAGGCGGGTTATTTCTTTTTTTTTTTCCAATTTATCTTTATTGTTGGAAGTATTACACATCTACCATTTTTCCCCCCATTGATCCCGTCCCCCCTGTACCCCTCCCCAGGCCTTTACCCTGCTATTGTCTGACTCCAAGGGTTATGCAGATATGTATATAAATTCTTATGTTAGTCTCTCCCCAGTCTCCCTCCTCCGTTTTCCATCTAAGATTCTTCAGTTTACTCCATACTTCCATGTCTCTGAATCTATTTTATTTATTGGTTTATTTTGTACAGTAGATTCCACATGAGTAAGATCATGTGACACTTGTCTTTCTCTGACTGGCTTACCTCACTTAGCATAATACTCTCCAGATCCCACCATGCTGTCTCAAAGGAGATCCTTCATTTTTACAGCTGCATAGTATTCTGTGGTGTAAATGTCCCAGAAGATACTTGATAGGATTTCAGTATTTTTCAGCTTGTAGAGACTTGTTTGGTATTCTAACATATGGTCTATCTTTGAGAATGTCCCATGTGTACTAGAGGAGAATGCATATTCTTCAGCTTTAGGGTGACGTGTTCTGTAAATATCAATTAAATCCATCTGATTCAGTGTGTCCTTTAGAGTCACTGTTTCCTTGTTGATTTTTTCTCTGGAAGACCTAT